GCTCCCTTGGCTCCCCTAGCTGCGGGCCTTCTTGGGAAAACCGCCGCCTGCTTGCGGCGCTGCGGTTAACAACGTGAGCGCGAGCACCTGGGCTAACTGGAGACGGGCAGGCCTGTGCCTGCGCGCAGGCCTCAGCTGCAGCCCTAAGTGCTCCGGGGGCTGCACGGCCGTGTGTGGCTCAGTACGCTCGAGTTAGACCTGGTTTTGTTCAATTGTGTCGCTGGGCTTAAGTTTGTTGGGTATGTCCAGCTCCTGGTGATGACTTTTCAGCTGTTCAGCTCCCAATAAAACATTAGCCTTACTGAAAGGCAGTGGAGAAGGTGTGTTTTTAGTTGCCTTATTATCTAAAAAATCATTACTGTTTGGCTGCAGATGTGTGAGCATGCAGGTGGTGGTGCCCTCTGGCAGGTGCTCCGGTAGCTGCTTCATGAATGTGAATGGCGTTCAAGACGCTGACGTTTGAAATCCAAAGAAGCAATTAGCAACTCTGGATGCATGTTTCAACAGTTGGCTAGGTTAAATCTGATCAGTGTGATTTTGAGCAGATAAGAACTTTAATGAAAAAGAGTGAGGAAAATCAATGCATGCAAAATATCCACATAGGTTAAAAGAGTAATTAATTTATTGATTAAAGTGTTAGTAGTCGATAGCGACCACCTTTCTGAATCTTCTGTTGGCACTGAAGAAAATTCAGAGTAACATGCAGTGTAATATGATTTTGTTTTCTGGCAGGGTCAAAATCTGTGCAGTTTTTTGTGTGCTGTTTTATATAGGCTAGGTTTCAGGAAAGTATGTCTTCTGTTTGAAAAAGCAATGCATCTAAATAATGTATCATAATGAGTTAATGTTAATTACTGACTTTTTTGAATTGGAAGCTTCTATATATTTTGATTTCCTCCTTCTGTTCTTAAAAAAATGATTATTTTCTACAAATCCGCCCTGTCCTGTAGAAGCTTTTTCCAGTGTCTGTGTTTCTAGATGACTTTTTAAATTACTTCTATTTTTTTTTTTAATCGAGCTTTAGTTGAAACTAGTTTTAGGGTGTGGAATTGTCTCTAGAATTGTTCTGGATGAAAAGCTTCCACTTTTCCTTTTAACTTTGAAAATATATTTATTTAAAACGACTCTTTTTAAAAGAAGTTTAAAAAGAAAGGTAGAAGAAGTTTGCTAGAAAAATGTGAATGTGTTTTTCCCAGGGATGTTTTCATGGGAAACAGAACAGCTTCTGTCCTCATCTGATCCCCCACCCCCCACCCCACCCCACAGCACCACAGGTTCCTGGAGGTAGTAGTTGTTTTGTGCTGTGTTTTGACAAGTGGCATTTAATGCTGTCTTGTAGCTTATATGCGCAGAGAACATATTTTATTGCTTTGCTTATACTTTTCAAAGTGATGAAAGATTGTTCCAGAGATGAAATACTTATTACCTTCTTTTGTTAAAGCTTTTTTGTTATAGCTGTAGAAGCTATTGAGGTCTGTGTAAGACCATCAGTTGCAATTTGGCCTCAAGATGGATACGTTCAGTAGTACTTTGATTTTTAGGCGTGACTCAGTTGCTCACACATGCACTGCTATTCTACCCTCTGTGAATATTAATGCACTTTACTCTCTGGTTTTATCTGAAAGGCTGGTGGAGTTGCTGGTGTCTGCGTTGACTTGATCCTTTTCCCTCTGGATACTGTGAAAACCAGACTGCAGAGTCCCCAAGGATTTAGGAAGGCTGGTGGCTTTCGTGGCATCTATGCTGGTGTTCCTTCCACTGCTATAGGATCCTTTCCAAATGGTAAATTTTGTCTGAATTACGCTTTATCTTCTGTTAGATGGGAGCTTATGTAATGTAGGACATCCACATTTGTAGTGTCCTCTCCTGCAGGTGACTGTGTGTTTGGACTTTGTGAGGGGCAGCTTCTAGGATTGTATAGTACTGAACAAACTCTCTGAGGAAGCCTGGAGTGAAGGCTGCAGTGTGTTTACTCTGAAAAGCTCTGGTTTTGTGTGTCTGGTCTTACTGCTGTATTTCAGCTAGGAACTTGCCTAAACAGGAGCTCTTGAAAATTGCTTTTTTTTTTTTTTTTCCCCTCCTCTGAGGCCTTCCATGTGGATTGATTAACCCACTTCAGCTACATGCTGTAGTTAACTTTTCTGACATAAACAATCCCTTAGTTTGGCTTTTGACAATGGGTAGGAACTGGAGGCTATGTTCATATTTAGAGAAGCCTGCCCTGCTGTTAAGGGGGCAGTGTACGTCACTAATGTGAATGCAGTTCAATGCTGTCTTCCAGCATGTTTTACTCTCTTAAATGTCTGTGTAAATCTCGCTATTGTAAGCCTCGTTCTATGGTAAGAGTAGTACATGCTGTACTGATTGGTGTAGCCCAGCAGTTCAAACAAATCTAAAATAAATGAACTCTAAAAGTTATCAAGTGGTATTTAGCTGCCAGCATTAAACATTGCTGGTGCTTTACATATCCCAGGCATACAACCCCTAGTCCTTGGAAGTGTTTATGGATATGTGTTATTAGCCTGTTCCTTCTTACAGAAGCATCCAAAGGCATTTCCAGGTGTCAAAGAGGGCCTAAGTCTTGCTTGCTGCAGACACTTGTGTCACTGCATTTCTTTCACTGTACTGGAAATGAATGAGAACTCTTCAAGGTGGTTGAGCATTGGAGGTCTTTGAGCTAAATGCCCTGGGGCTGCTATGCTCTTCTTTCTTTCCCTGGAAACAGGGAGTAACTTAAAATTAGAAGACATCAGGGATAAATCTGAAATTGAAACTTTAAAAAGGTAAATACTTGTAGTCCCTGCAGAGAAAAGGTATCTAAAATTCTGAAGGCCTTTGTCCATTTCTTCTTTGTACAGGGCGGAGAGGGAAGCACCAAGCTATGTTGTCAGTAGTGTTAGAAGTTTGCAGACAAATCCACTGACACCTTCAAATGTTTGATGTCCTTCATAAGATGATATAAAAAATTTCAGTTCTCTATCTTGTCTCCTCTGTTATCTCCTTTTGAGATGATAAGCATCTTTTGATTAGCAGCAGACAGCAATTCACAGGGTCCTTCTTTACAATTAAAATCTGTTCCCCCTCGAGACATGTCAGTTTTTTCAGAATTTGCATCTGCAAAATCTGAACTGTGTTCTTATCTTTCCAGTGTAAGACTGAAAACTGAAATTGTCTTTAGGAAAGAGAGTAACCCTTAAGGTGCAAATGCCTTTGTAGTTGATTGCAGTGGAAAAACACTATTTATGTTGCTATGCTTGTATTAATTTTGTATGTTTCTTGCCCACTGGACAGAGTACTTTAGAAGTGTTAAAGAATTTTCTTTCTGGAGCTAAAGTGTAAAATAAACTGATCATTGCTGGGAAGATGCTATTAATAACTTCTACTGAAACAGTAGCACTGAAACAGTAGCAGACTTGTAGCAAGTACTTTTTTTTTTTTTAATTGCTCCACTAATCTTTTTCCAAAAAATAAAGACCAGCCACTCAAATCATCCAGGATGAAACAACCTCATCTCCAGCCTTTGTCTCCAGATATGTAAAATATTACGTTCCAAACCCAACTGGACAGTTAAGAATATTTAACACATCTTGTGTTATCTCAATACTAAATACCCCCTTAAATTCCTGACACCTTTGATATTAATGGGAGGTTTTCTGATAATAACTAAGGGTGTGAGCTTCTGAAGGAAATTATTTGCAGATTCTGGTGATACTATTGTTCTGTTCTAGGGCAATAAATACCTCTTTTTCAACCACGATATTGGAATAATAAGTGACAAAATCCACCTCTGAATATTTTTGTACTAGTTCTGTGATAGAGGAACAGTTAACTGACTCTATGTATTCTTGAATTTCAGCAGCTGCATTTTTTATGACCTATGAATATGTGAAGTCTGTGCTGCACCACAGTTCTACATCATACTTGACTCCAGTAACACACATGGTGGCCGCCTCCTTTGGAGAAGTGGTAAGAAAGAAGTTCATCTATTGCTTGTCTATGAGAGGAGAAGAAAATTAATTTATGAAAACTCAGGTTTGATGTCATCTCTTGAATGTTGACCATTTTGTACTTGTGATGTTTATTACAAAAATATTACTTGTTATTTTCCAATGAACTGTTGACATGTTTGAAAATTCAGTGTGGGACTTCTTTCCAAGTGTGTAAATGAGTTGCTACTAACTCCTACTAGGCTTATTGGCAGAGCTCGCTAAGTCAGTAGGTAGAGGAATTGTGCATCGCTCCGATTCATGATATTATACCTTCACAATATAATGTGAAGTCAGTGGTGAAATTCAAGAAGGCTTTCTTTGCTTTTATAGCCTTTCAGCTTCATGTGGGGTAGTTGTGAAAAAGATTTTATTTGCAGATGGTTTTTACAATTGTGACACAGTGGTCCTATATGTATATTAGAAAAGTTTCATAATTTGAAACCCATCTACCTTTGCAGCTAATAGCCAATGTTAAGTAATATTTATATACTACCCCCTTCCCGCCATGTATTTGGATTCAGTGAACGCCTTTTCCCAGAAGATAGTTTGTCATATAGATGAGAAGGCTTTCTTGCCAGTGAATGTACAAAGTGACATGACAGGATAGGGCAACTGGCAGCTGTGTCGCTTCACTTGCCAAATGATGCGTAATGCTTTCCTGATGAAGCCTGTCTCGGTGGAAAGTGTTTGTAGGTAACCCAATGAAACAGTTTTTCCTTGGGATGTATACCTGTGTATTTTAGTGACAGCTTTTCATATAGCCCCTCTGATAGCTGTAGCTTTGTACAGTTTGATGTATTGGTTGGGTGACTGCAGGATTAAAACGTATGTGAGTAATATATATAGAAATAATATATAAAGCTTTTTCCCCCAGTTCTTGGAGAAGTTGCTCTGTTTCTGGTCCATTAAACTCAAATTACTTCCTTTATAGTAGGGTCTGGAGCAGCAAGTAATGACTTGCTTTGCCTGGGTTCATACTATGCCCAGAATAATTGAGACCAAATTCTACTGAACGTTTTAGATGCTCAGTAAGGAAGACTGCAAGAGAAGCCTCTCTTGTTTTGATGCCTATGTTGCCCTTGCTTTGTTAACAGCATGGACCTTGCAGTAATCAGTTGTTTTTGTTTGTTTGTTTGTTTTTTAAAATATTCTAAGTTACAAATGAAATAGCACTAACCTATTGGAGTCAAGTACCAAAATGCCTGTACCCTCTTGAGTTCCCAATCTCAGTGTATTTAGACTATTTCCCTTATATTGGCCAGTCCTTGGTGTTTTTTTTTTTTTTTGGTTGGTAGTTTTTTTTGATTGGTTGGGTTTTTTGTTTCTTTCTCTTTTTTTTAAAGAGACAAGAGGAAGAGTTTTCAGCACTAAAGAAAGGTCAAGGGTCTATTTGAAAGTGACTTTATATTCCGTTTTAGGATCATGAAATGAATTTCATTGCTAACGTGCAATGCCAGGCTGACTGGACAACCCATAGATCCACTGAGTTGAGAGTCTGGTTATAGCAAGAGCTAGTATGTGACATTTCAATAACAGGAGTGAACTTTTGTAAATAGTCTGCCACAACAGACTTGTCTATTGGTAACCACAAAAGATGCATTATCCATACTCTTCTGCAGGCCTAGAGGTTGCCACTCATTTGTGGTAGAATATACAGACCAGCTTGAATGTTCTGTTAAAAACGAGGAGAGTAAGGCTGGTTTGGGATAGCTGAATCATATACTTCCCAGGTTCAGCAAAATGCTACTTTACCCAGATATTCCTCTCATGTTTAACTAGAGAGTTGGCACGGTGTCCCGGCAGTGTTTTGGGCTAGGTGTTCAGCTGCAAACAGTCATTTGCTGTCTGTGCCAGCACTGTCCACCTTCTTACTCTTGGTTTTGGCACACTGGGTGTTTCTTGGCACTGTAGTTATGAAATGGAGTGTGAACTGCTCTCTCCCCGCAGGTTTGGGGGAGGGTGATGGGCTCTACTGAATTAACTTTTCTGGCTCAGTTGCAACTTAAACTTAGCCCATGACATGGAGCAGAAAAATGTATTGTGTCTTTGATTCCATATTCTGCTTTTATTAAGTGAGATTTTCATGTCTTGTGAAATTAGCTTCTCCTCTTCCTCACAGGTACCTCAGTGTTTACCTTCTCCTCAGTGGCCTAGCTTGCTTGTAACTAAGCCCCAAACTACTAGAAGTGCAGATGGACCTATGCCACGTTAGCTTAGCTAGTAGGTGCCTCAGTACTATAGCAGCATGGCCTAGTTACTTCCCACAGGAAGCAAAGCAGCAGTTCATGTCTTCCTGCTTCCCTTGATTTCAGCTTTGCTTTCCAAGTGATTTTTATTTTCGTGTGGAAATGAAACTGATTAGACTGAATGTGACCTTAACTTCACACACCACGCGCATGAAGATAGTTGAATCCAGCATCTAATAACCGCTTTGGCAGTGGTTAGAGGCAGGAATAGATGGGAGGTGATAGATTTAGGGGTGGGAGGTATACTTCTGTGTTGCCTCCTCAGGGGATTTCTTTTTGATCTGGATTAGACTCTGTGCTGTCAGGTTACAGCTAACTTCAGGCAATGCATGGAATTTGTTTCTGTGGAAATCCTGTGAAGGCTTTTAGGAGTCGGCAAGGGATTCTTCACTACCATTGCAAAACATAGCCCTTAAATTCCTTGTTTGCCTGACTGACTCAAGAAATCTCTCAGATCTGCTGTTTTGTAAGCTTTGCAAGTAGACTGCTCTGCTTCAGAATGAAGAAATGATGATCGGGCCCGTGAAGAGGTGCCAGCGTTCTGAGGCTAAAATCCTCAAGAAAAGGTTCTAAAAACCAGTCTCTTTTGTGAGCAGGCTTTTTATAGTGCACTTCCTTTGCCTATGAGGATTCTGTAAGAAAACCATGGCCAGACAATTTAATCAGCAGCAGCTAAAGAATAGTTGGCTACCAATGGCTCTCCGCGTGGTTGCAGACCTGTTGCCTGAACGTTCAAAGGTGGTCTGTATGCTCGTGACCCTTACGAATCGGGAGCATACTGCTTTCATTTGCAGGCTAACAAGTGGAGGTACAGCGCAGCTGAATGCCTTGCTCAGAGTTGTCTGTATCTATGCCTCAAGTTATGGCTCTTGCTACCCTAAGGCCACAGAAATGTATAGTGATAGCCGTTGAAATGGCAGTCTGACTTGATGGTGTGGAAACTGCCGTGTTGAAACAGCCATTTCTCAGCTAATAAGATTTTGCTTTTTGCCAGCTTTCTCCTCCCTCCCCTTTCCCCTTTCTTGGTGCAATGGGAAAACTAAGCTGTAAAATAATTGAGGCAGGGATTTAGAGAGTTGCTACAACAAACCCATAATAAAAATATCACAAAGCAAGATCTTCTCACATTTGTTTTATATCAAGTCTTAGCTGATTGATCACGTTTATATATATATATATATATATAAAAATAAAAAAGCTATTCCAAATTGCATCAGGGTGAAAGTTATAATTATAGTTTTATTGATTGGTCATTAAGTTTTAATCAAGGCACAGCCACTGGGACTATTATTTTGTCAGTAGTTCTTTTGTTTCCTACACGCTTTTCCTCCTTTGTATGCTTTAAATAATTGCTTTTGTATAAATAGCTTTTAAATGTGAAATAATAAGCCAATATTTCTGTCATGTTAGGATTCCCAAGGCAGCTCTTCACGTTTTCAAACTGTCTATCTTTTTTAAAAAAAGGAAGAATTAAGGTTTAGAGCAAGAAACTGGTATTGAATTTCTAAATCTGCTGCTCATTCACTAGTGAGCTTATGTGAATTGGCTACCTTCTTGTGCATCAGTAAAATATGAAGACTTGCTAAGCTTTAAGATAAGCTAATGCTGACTAATCTGTTTTGAATGAGTGTTAGCATAGTGCACCCTGTTAAAAGTAATAGTAATACAAAAGGTAAAGCTGAAAAATGCGAAGGTCCCATCCAGATATGATAAAATCAGTCAAATGGGAGTTCTTGGTTTTTGTAATGGGTGTTCTTCTGTATTATTTACAACCTGTGTAAGTTCATGAGAAACACAGTCCACTGGAACTGAGTTGATCCAATTTCCTAGTATAGGTTGGGAGGCACAAAACCAAGCAGTAAAAAGGCAGTGGCCATAGTGTGTGTGTCCTCCTTTTAGACTGGAGGAATATAGAAGACTAATCTCATCTCCAGGAGTGAGATAAAGAAAAGTGCACACAAAATCTGACTCCATTAAACATAATTACTTTTTCCTATAGCTGAATCTTGCTGTATAGGGACTCTGAAAATCACATAGTACATGAAAAATTACTCATAAAGGCAGAGCCAAAACTCCAGAAGACAAATCTACAGTATATCATCTCATCAAGGAAGAATGAAGGTTGAAGAATACAAGAGTTACCAAGGGGAAAAAACCCTTACTATACCACTGTGTGTAGCAGAAATTCAGAGATAGGAAACACACTTAGGCATCCAATCCAGGGCACTGGAATTTTTCATCCTGACTCTACATTGCCCTGTGTGTTTAGTCTGCCTGTATCTTTGTAGTGAGCTGCCAAATGTGCTTGGAAAACATGATATCATAGGGGATGGAAAGGAAAACCAGATGTTCTAAGATTTTTACTTCTGATATTCTGAGGTGGTGCAAGTAACTCAGAGAAGGAGCAGTATTTTTAACCTTCTAGTGCCTGTTTTAAACAGAACAGGGTGCTTACTGCAGATGCAAAGTTAATTGATTTGTACCATTTTTTTTGGTCAGCTTTGTAGCAACAGTGTATACACTATCATTACACAAAACCTGAGTAAAGAGAAGTTCCCCCCTCCAACCTTGCCCTGCCACCAGCTTTCTGCAAACAGCTTTATGGGACAAGTTTAAGATTGTCCCAGTTTGGTTGATGAGGTTTCCCTCATGAGAGCCAAAATGCTTGGATTCAGCACAGTTAATTTTACATCCTGCTGGCTTTTCCATGGAGGTGAGAACAAAGTTGTTTGGATCACGTTCTAGAAAGGCTAGCTGACAACAGTCTTTTCCATCTAATATTTAGATATTGTTATGGTTACGGTCTGAGCTTTGCAAGATATTTAGTGGAAGTTTTGGGCTGCTGCTTGTAAGTAGCAGGTCTACTCTTATAATTTTTCTGTCCTTTTTTTCCTGTTTTTGATTTAGCTTTTTTGGTGGCTTTGTCTTTCTTCCTACTCTGTAGGAAAGTAAACTACCAGGCTTTTAGCTCACTTATGAGAGGAACTGTGAGGGAAGGACTGAGGACCTGGGTAGTGTGTAGATGCCCTGTGACAGTGCTCAGGAAGTTGATTACTGCTGAAGTTATTGAGCTGCTGTTGCCTTTGTGTTGTTTTCCAGAGCACTTAGGATTACAGTGTTGGAGATACGTTGACACTGTGCAGTGTGTTCCCAAGCTTGCAAGATCTGCAGAGTATCCGCAATGAGCTGGTGCGTCCAAATAGTATGTGGTAGCCCCAGGTGGAGGGAGTAGCTGGGATCCTGAAAGCTGCATAGTCATGTTAAAAGCACTGTGCCTGCATTAATTTGGCCTGTTGGATTTTTCAGGCTGATGTAGCCATACTTTGGGTTCTTGAGCCGGCTTGTTTTCAGCCTGCTTCAGTGCCTGCTCTGTTACTCCCTTGAGTCGTGTAAATGCTTGACAAGCTTGCAGGTCTAGGAAGGCATTTCTGGTCTGGCTGCAAGAGTGCTAAAACTTGGGCTATCCACCAAGCTTTGGTGGAACGTCAACCTCTCAGGAAGAAATGGAGACTTCAGCTGTGTTTTCCTGGAAAAAGTTTGAATGGTTATGTAGGGACTGCTCCCTCCAAAAGTGGTAGGCTTGACTGGCTTCAGCAAGAAGACTTTTGGCAGAGCCGCATGCTCAAGTTTTTTCCAAATTTGAGAAATGAGAGATGTTGAATCCATTTGAATTGAAACATCCAAGCAAGAAGTTTGTTGCTTGACTGAGGAGAGGGCATAAGACTGGCTGACTTGTCCTGGTTTACGTAACCTAAACAAACTAGCAGGAGAAATGAGCTCAAGAAAGCAATAACTAAAACGTGGAAATGCAGTTGGGCATTCAACTCTCTGCCTCCTCTTGCCTTAAATAAGTAGGTAGGTGGTGTCACATTATCACCTTACCTGGCTCCGCAGGGCAAGGTGAAGACAGATATTTCAAGGTGAGATTCCAATCTCGCTGGTGTATTCCACTGTGTTGCCACTTACGATTGTGATAAGAGCAAAGTGTGTGGTTCATCTGTGATTAGCATCTGACCCTCAGTATTACTAACTCAAAATTTTTTTTTATCCACTATTGGGATGTGTCAAATAGAAAAGCTTCTTAATGTAGGAATTAGCTTACTGGGGAATTTGGCTAATTTTCTTTGCTCATCCTAACTTGTTTCTTAGCAGATGCAGTCCCAAATGCAAGTAAGACAGTTTGCAAATCACATTTCGGTAGCATGAACATTTTGAGAATACTTAAAAATAAATAAATAAAAGGAAGGTGAGTGTTGTATTATTTTAAGCTTATTTTTGTGAAGAAATGAGGCGTATAACATCGTAATGTCCATGTTTATCTGTTTGTTTGTCAACTCCTTTCCTGTGCTGTGGCAGTATCTTCTGAAACAGTTAACTTGTTTCAGTTAATAGAAGAACAGCAGTCTCAGAAGCGTATTAGTATAAATTTTATGGGACTACCTGGCTAAGTCGGAAGAGATCCACTATTCTGTGGAAAAGGGTGGAAGCATGAGCCAAACAATCCGCAAATCAAATCTATAGGAGATGAAGCAGCCCCTCATGCCACACCTGGCGTTAAGTTTTTAGCTATTTGAAACCCCTAAACTTGCACGTTGGAAGATGTGTTTTTTCAGTTCAACAGGCAAGATGGACACCTTAGGAAGAGCTGCTTCTAAGCCAGCAGTCATCTGCTGCAGCGAAGAGGTGATTTAGCACTTACTGTATCTAGGCTTTGGTCTAATGGCTTTGAATTTTTAACAACGTTCCCTTTTCTAAGAAGAGAATAAAGGAGTGGACAGAACTGTTTCAAAATGGAAAGCCACATTTTTTTTTTTTATTTTGTATTTCATTGCCTCCCAACCGGTGTAATATGGTCTGGCAGATAAAACTACCCCTTCTTCGGTGTCGTTCCACATCTCAGCCCTTGTTTGTTTCTACCATTTCACAGCATGTTTGTGTTGTAGCAACTAAACATGGGACCCTGCACAGTCCCCCTGCCAGCCTTGATTCAGGTGGTGGTGAAGGAGATGGAGTAACCTCTTCTGCTCATCTTATAAGATCACATTTACTGAAGGGGAACCTGTTACTGGGATGGCCTTAGCTTGAACTGGTCCTATATCAGCCTGAAACTGTTTGGTGTTGAGTGCTGGACTGAGGACAGCAGGTCAGTCTTTGTGATGCCCACATGCTCCTCCTAGTACACGCTGTTCACACCAGTCCACGCTACACCCCTGCCAGTACTGATAGCCTATAGCAGGTCAATGGTATCCAGCTTGACAGGATCTCTTTTACAGTACTTACACTTTCCAGACTATTGCTGTTGATCAGTGCTTGCCACTTTGGGCCTGTTTTTTTTTTTAATTTTGTTTTGTTTTTTTTCTGTACCGCACATAGCTGGATGCGTACAGGCCTTGAGCAGTGGAACATGCTGACCCTGGCAAGATGAGCAATGGTGGGGAGTGCAGCAAGGTGTGTGGTCTTTTGAATTAATCATGATGGATTTTGGAATGTTCATAAATTAATCTAGGTGAGGTCAGGTCTGCAATACAGATGCTGTAGGATTTCTGCCAAGACGTTATGTAGAAGCGTAGCTGAGCGGTGGTCAGAAGATTGTTGTGAATGTGTGACTGCTGCCATGAAAAGCTAACGGAGAAGGGGCATAGTTAGAGCAGACAGAAAGTCAAATTAAAGCTGCAGCTCAAAATTGCTTGTAAATAAAGGTGAATGGAGGCCTGAATCCACAAATACTGCCAACAAATTCATCATACGATTAAAGGCTGAAACAGCAAATTAAGAGCAATCAAACACCTAACCAGCCACCCATGCTGCTCTCTTCCTGTATGCTTTGTTAACTGTATGTTTTTTACCTCTTCTTTATTAGCTCTGCTTCGTAGCCCACTTTATCTCTTCATTCTAGGATTTAAAGCAGGCTGCTACTTTGGAGTACAGGACAGAAGCCTGATGTTTGTCACCTCTTTTCTTTTAGTACTAGAACTGGTTAAAAATTACTCTGAGCTCAAAGCATTTGTCTAAAGAGGAAAGTTGATTTGAGTTAAAGAGTATAAGTAAGAAATAAATAGTTTAAAACATGCTTCCTGATTGATTTCCTGGGCTGTAACTTATTCTGCCAGAGTCAGCTTTGGCAATGACTGAGATAGTTTAAACTAAGGTATGCTTATTCCAAGGTAAGTTTCTGTACAGGGTTTGTCAAGAATGACTATTTCTGAATAGCTCCATATGTGGACAAGCCCATAATCCTTTAAGTAAAGAGGCTGTAGGAAAAGAGTAAGGGATCAATTAAAGGAAAATACTTGATAAAATACAATGTAGTTGAAATTTCCACATTCTGGGCCAATGTAACCTCAGGAGACGGAGCAAATTGTAAAATACTAGCCATCTTTCAACAGGAGACTTAATGTGTTTTCAGAAAATATTGCCTGTGTTCTCTTGCCTGGAATCTCATTAACATTTGTCCTCCTGTAACACAGTTTGACCCCACTTAGCTCCTTGGAAACAGTTTTATGCTGGATGGGATGCACCATGCTACTTTGTAAGGGAACTCTTGCTGAAAGAACAGTTTGGCTGGTGGATGGAATTAATTTCTTAAGACTTTTAAAATAGGTTTAACAGGCTCACTGTGACGGAAGAGTTGCTAGGATAGATTGGATCATGCAGACAATTCTGTAAGTTGAATTAAGGGCCCTCTCTTCTTCTGCTTTAAGGCTGTTTATGTTTAAGAGTGGTAGCAGCTGATGATTTGAGCAGTGAACCTTGTTTCAAAGCACCAAGCTGGTTAAGGAAGATAAAGACTGGAATTTTAAAAGCTATTTAGTTGTCTGATTTTTGTCACTCAAGGGTTGAATGTGACTGTGCTGAAGAACTTCAGAATCTGTGGGACTTCTAGTCTGTGCCTGAGTACAGAAGAGAAGTTTGTAACAGTGGGATGCTTTGAGTAAGTCTTAAATTTGGTTTAAAGTAACCAAACAAAACTGTATGCTGATTGAATTTTGAAAGACCATTTTAGTTGTACAGAATAGGCTTTAGTTGTACTTTCAGAGCAATTTTTGCTTCGTAGACTTTCCCTGTTCTTTGCCCGTTAACTGATCATAATTAGGGCAGCAGTGTTCCTTCTTGGTGTGAAAAGAGCTCAACGCAAATCTCTGCCATCTGAGGATAAAAGAGACAGGCCAGTTCTTCAAGGTATAGCTGATATGGCTGATGGAGAGGTCGGCAGGGATCCTCCAGTGACAGATTCAGGGCATGTAGCTAGGTGTTTGAAGAACTGAGTGTGGAGAAGCAGATCTAAAGGTGCAGCAGAAGCCTGTGTTGAGTGAGCTACTTAAGTGATGGACAAATAGCCATCTGAGGGCTTCAGGCAGCTGAGGCAAGAAGGTTTGATCAGGATAGCCTGTGTGAAGGAGGAAGTGTGTGGATGATGCTCTGGAGCAGGGAGAGGGGAGCTCTGGAAAGTGATAGTAGGGAACAGACTTAAGCTTGACAGTAGCGGTGTGGAACAACACTCTGCAAAACAGCTCTGCAAATCCCTGGTAGAGTCATCTAAGGTGGAAGCATGGTGGAAGTTGAAAATGTTTGTGCAGAAGCTCCTGTATTCCAAACGCTTGTGACATTCAGTCCCTCTGAAAGGTCTCATCTCTGAAATAGTATGTTTTTCAAGCCCTGGGAAGTGCTGAGATCTAAGATCTTGCAGGGTGGGATTGGTCTTTGAAGAAATGTTTCCTGCCAGCATACGTGGGAGCTGCAGTTAATTTAGTGAAGGCTCTATTGTGCCTATCAGAAGAAAAGACAGGACAAAGAGCCTGGCTTTGTCTAAACTTTCCCATCCAAAGCCCATTAGTCAAAACTTGTTCTCTCCATGGGCTTTAAATCAGGAGTGGAATCACCTGTTCATGACCCTGGCAGCTCTGCACAGGGCTGAATTTAACTATGCTGGAAGGGCACATCTGTGATGTGGTGTGTGTATAGATGTATGTGCATATTGTGTCAGTGGAAGTAAGATTAGCATAGTCTGAGGTTTTATTTTGAAAATTAACACTTATTCTCTGGGGTTGGCACTTAAAGCGGAAACTGATAGTGGAGAGTATGTACAATGGGCATCTCCTTACCATCCCTGGGGACAATTTCCTTGTTAAAGTAGATGATGTGCTTCATTTCTCCACTTTTGCTGTGCATAAGCAGGTAGCACACAGCCTGCTGACAAGCATATGTGGAAGGATTTACTTGAGTTGAGATCCACAGCAAACTACACGCCACAGAGACTTACAGTTTTCGTTCTATCTTGGTCAAAAGGGTAGCAATTATTTAGATGAAGAGTTTATTGGTGTTTGAACTGTTACAAGTCTGTGATTGCAGCAGTTTAGTCTTCTCTGCCCAAAGAAAATATGAAACTAAATGACAAATGTGCATTTCATGCCTCCTAATCTTCTGTTCATTTTCATGGTGGGGAAGAAGGGTTAGGCAGTTCAATCTTCTGTCTATGGATACATCCTTTGCTTCCCGCCGCCTCCACTACTATGTAACATTCCCAATCCAAAAGCTACCGTCAGATCTTCAAAACAATTATTTGGAAGATGAAATACTTTGCCAGTCTCATAATATGGCGTGGAAAACATTCAGTTTTTCTCTTCTATCACGCACCTGAATCACAATGAGTTCTGAAGAACTAAACATTGTAAGCTGAATTTGGGGAGGCTGTGGAAAGCTGTAACGCTGAATTTAAGACTTGTTGAAAGGCTCTGACTTGAATTAAGATGGACGTTTCCCCTGCTTTTTCAAGATCCAGAGGAAACCTGAGCAATTTAAGATCTCTTTGATTTTTAGACTTGCCTATTATTTCAAACAATCATTCAGTTATCTGAGGGAACAGAAAATAACATTTTTCTTGTTTCAGATTAAAAATACTAATTTGCTACCTACCAGGGAGTATCTCACATAGAAATTGAGGGGCTTGGATTATGTCAT